CGGGCATGCGCCCCCCCAAATCTAACGCTGCCCTTCTTGTCCCCCTCCCACCTTTCTCCCCTCTCCCCTCCGTCCACCCGCCTCTGCCTCTGCCTGTCTGTCCACGTGCCCGTCCGTCCATCCGTCTGTCTCTCTCTCTCTCTCGTGTCTCTCCTCCTCCTCCTCCTCCTCCTCCTCCTCTCGGGGACGTCCCCTTCCCGTCCAGTAACGCGTGGGACCAGCTCATCTTGTGCTCTGTTTGTGGTGGACCTTTTCCAGCTGCTTGACCTCAGGCCTAACTCAATGCTGCTTCTGAACAAACTCCCCTTTGGTTCTTGGTTGTGGTTGTTTGGGTTTTTTTTATTTTTTTTTTTCCTTTCCTATTTTTATTTTTTCCTTTCCTATTTTTATTTTTTCCTCTTCCGTTCTCCTTGCTTTTTGTCTCCTTTTTTAAAGAAACTGTTTGACTAGCTGCTTGACCTCAGGCCTAACTCAATGCTGCTTCTGAACAAACTCCCCTTTGGTTCTTGGTTGTGGTTGTTTGGGTTTTTTTTATTTTTTTTTTTCTCCTCCTCCTCCTCCTCCTCCTCCTCCTCTCGGGGACGTCCCCTTCCCGTCCAGTAACGCGTGGGACCAGCTCATCTCGTGCTCTGTTTGTGGTGGACCTTTTCCAGCTGCTTGACCTCAGGCCTACCTCAATGCTGCTTCTGAACAAACTCCCCTTTGGTTCTTGGTTGTGGTTGTTTGGGTTTTTTTTTTTTTTTTTTTTTTCCTTCCGTTCTTTTATTTTTTCCTTTCCTATTTTTATTTTTTCCTCTTCCGTTCTCCTTGCTTTTTGTCTCCTTTTTTAAAGAAACTGTTTGACTTTCCTCCCCTTTCTCCTCCTCCTCCTCCTTGAATCTTGCTTTTCTTTCTAGGCCGCTAGACCATCTAAAGAGGCTAGTGAGACCTCCCCCACGGTCTCAGAAAAACCCGCATCTGGCAGAACATCCATCCCCGTATTGACTTCCTTTGGGGCAAGGAACTCCTCCATCTCATTCTGAGCATCCTTGCCAGCTCCACCCAACCGCTCTCCTGCTCCTGGGGCCGGGCTTCTCTCTTCCTTGGGCTCCTCCTCCCTGGGACTTGTCTTCTTGAGGCACCTGGAGGGATCGCCACCCGTCCCTCTCTTTCTGTTTTTTGTTTTTTTTTTTTCTTTTTTGGGTTTTCTTTTTGGTTATTTTGGGTTTTTATTTTCAAATCAATGTCTTGCTCCAATGTGGCCGACCTCGTGTCTCGCCTCCGCTCCGCCACGGCCCGACTTCTGTCTCCCATCTCGCTCCGCAATGGCCAACCAGCCACTTTCTCTTTCTCTCTCTCTCTTTTATCTCCCTTTTCCTTTTCTTTTTTCCTTTCCGTTTGGGTTGCTGTTGGTTT